TGGAAATTTTAAAGTATGCTGCAAGCGTTTATACGCCTTAATTGTTTAAATGTTTCCAGGACCAATGTAACAAATCTCATGATTCCGGGTTTCAACTCTGTGATGAAAATGGTACAATAACAAAGTATGAGATTACTCCTGTAGGGAAGAGCTACTCTCATGTGGTTACACATGATTCATCCAACGATGAAGTCAATTGCAGCTGTAGGAAGTTTGAATTTGCCGGTATATTGTGTTCGCATATCTTGAAGGTTTTTACCTTCAAAAGTATTTTAAAAATACCAAGTCAGTAGATTTTGAAAAGGCGGACACGAAAAGCAAAAACTGGTTACACAGACAATAAAAGTTCTAATGCGAATGGGACTGGGGATACTGAAGCATCATCAGGAAACAGGTACAAGGACTTGAGTTCATTAACTCTTCGACTAGCTACAAGAGCAGCAGAAAGGAAAGACACCAGCAAATTTGCAAAAGCACAACTTCTCAAATTGTTGGAGAAGATTGAAAAAATGTTACTTGATAAAGAGTCAGAGGCTGATGAGAACCAAGTGTTTCAAAGTACGACACAAGATCATGAGAAAATCTCTGAAATCAAGTCCACCTGGGTGAAAAGGAAAATATTAAAGGTATTAAATGGAAGCCAAAACCAACATCAAGTAAGAGGTTGAAAGGTGGTTTAAATAGAGAAGAACTCAAAGAAAAGAATTTGTGTTAAGAAAGGCAAGATTTCTACAAATACAATTGGTTCACAACCCATTTCTCCTCCAATTACCCAGGTTCCCTTTTTGCTGGTTTTATGTATGAAAACTGTTAATTGAATTTTTTTTTGTTCTGGATTTTTCATGCCTTTGTAACACATTACTAATGCAGAGTATTGAAAGAATATTTTCAACATATTTCTAGTCGGAACTCCATTCCAAATCAGCAGCTACAACAGTTTTGGGTGAGATTTTGATGATCATCTAAATATGAGTGTTATTCTCTTTTCTCTCTTAACATTTTTGCGTTTTATATTGGGTGATGACACATAGCAAATGCAACCATTTGGTGCTGCTATAGATAACCAGCCTACGGTTTATGCTCATCCGAATCCTACGAGGGATCCATTTATTCAGGTATATTTGTGTGGCATATTTTAGAGTTAATGATGTATTGTATAGAAATTCTGAATATTTTAGTTTTTTTTTTTCTTCAGGCCACTAATGCAGAAACATTCAAACAAAGCTTTGTTGCTAGTGCACCACCTTCAATGAGCATGACAGATTTACTTATGGTGTGTTTTTTTTTTACTTTCATTTCTTAATTTTGATTTTTATAGTAACCTTTTGTTGCATCTCTATATTATAATCAATTCTACATGTTCAATTTTTAGGCACAACAAGCTCAAAATTTTAACAATCTGGGAGCTGGTGATTGTGATTTGTGATGAGCAGTGCAGTTGTCCATTTCCTTGTTTTGGAGGCCACTTTTGTCTTTGTAAAAGAAGCAACAACATGTAGTGATTTACATTTATGATCTATGACCGGTTGCTTTTGCCTTTTTTTTTTTTTTGCTTTTCCCCTTCTGTTAGACTAGTGAAAGTCTTAAACAAATTTGAGTTTGATCTATTAATAATTACGTGAATGCTTTATTTTTATTTTAGTGTCAGAACCATTATCTCTTATGAAATTTCAATCTCAAAGGTTTTGAGCTCTGTTTGCTGTGGGTTTTCTTGTTTTCCGAAGCAATAGTAATTAGCCGCCAAAAAAACCCCAACTTTTCCTTGGTGTTGCTATAGATAACCAGACCATGATTCAAGTAGTTATTTTCTTTCAATCTCAGCTTCCTTTGCTAGTTTCTCTTTCTTTTTGTCTTGGTGGAGGGAGATCTACGCGTGGGCTGTACATGGTTTGCCATGCAAAAGCCCTCACTCTCACCATGATTTCTCGTTTTCTTGGCAAATTGTAATCTTCAAACCTAATGGGAATGACTCACCAAGCAGAAAAGACCTTGTGTTTTTTTTCTTCTTAAAAAAGGACAACTTTGAGAATATAGAGGCGATGAAAAATTATGCAATTCTAACAAAAGTTGGCCTGGCTTGAGCCGATGATAGGTGAGAGTTTAATATATAAAAATGAAAATTTGGTTAATTGTAGGAGGTGTTATTTTAATTAAAACTACGTAGTTTTAATCTGAACAGGGACTGGATAGAGATTTTTTGGACAGGAGATCCGAACTCTAAACTGAGACATTTTCAAATAAAAATTTAATTTTTTTAAGCAAAGAAAAGAAGGCCGAAACCTGGGGATGTGGGATTATAATGATACGTCGATATAAAACACTAATTACATTATTTGTGAACCATGATTTTGCTATATTCAGTGAATCATTAAGTCCATGGAATCCTCCTGGAATTGATGACCCTAGCGAACAAAACAGTCCACCAAATAGTTAGCCGTACTGAATTCATGCCAAACTTTCACACGCCATTGTCTCCTTAGTAGCTCCTTAATAGGTCAAAGCCAATCCAAGGGAGGAGTAATTAATGTGTATAATTTTTTAGAGACAAGAATTGGGAGGAGTAATTAATTTTATTGAGGTAAAACATTACAACAAATAAGGCATTCAAACTAGATAATAATAAAAATTACTTAGCATCACTTTATAACGACGAACAAAAAAGTTGCGTAGGACAGGCATAAACCCTGCTAAAGGATACCACAAAAGCTTAAAATAAATAAATCTATAGTATGGAACCGATGAGTAAACTACACTAAAGCATTAAGAAGAAAAACAAACACAACCTTCTTTTGCATTAATATTCATCATCATTACTATCATCGTCGCTACTATCACCATCGCTATCGCTAAAGTAATTACCGTTATCGTCATCACTGCTTCATCGGCCGTAAAGTATTGATCCTCGTCGCTATCATCATTACCGTCGTCAACAGCAGCACCCTCATCATGTTCGTCAAACTCACTGTCACTATCATCAGTATCGGTGGAGACATCACTAGTATCAGGATCTGTACGATCACTGTCATCGGTGAAGAACTCCTCCTCTGTGCTGCTGCTGTCCATCCTTCTCGATTCTTCAACTTATTGAATTTCTTGGTGATCAATAAGACAATGCACGAAGATTATGATTGTAGAGAAAGCAATATACGCAAGATGTTGGAGTTATGGACGTACAGCGGCCCTCTATTTATAGAATTGTTAAGACTTCTCGGCTTTTGGGAAATATTATTAGAAACCTCTATTTCCTAATTATGAAATTGAATTGATTTTTAGGGAATTTTCCCAATCTACAAACAATTTCAATCTCCACTGGAACGTCGATTTCCTCTTTTTTCTTTTCTTTGGTGTGCCCTGTGACATATTATATCATTATTATTTTAATAACATGTAACAAGACATTAGGGTAATGTTTATGGGTGACGTGACATACAACGATTTATGGTTTTTTCTTTCAGGCATCATGACTACGTATCCACATTAATACTTTTTTTTAAAGAGTTTTAAGTCTTGTTTATCTCCGTTTTCTATCTAAAACAAAATCATAAGAATAATCTTTTGAAGTCTCATAAACTCATCTCGAAGCCTTGTTCTTCTTGGTGAAATGTTGAGACATAATGTGAGATTCGTCTTACTTGAAGTTCAAAACTTTCAACACAGGCGATGAAAAAAAGGAAGGGGAAAAAAAAAAAAAACAAAGGCGGGGGAATAACGGTGAACAAAGGACGACTCTACGAAAATCTGTTGTGAATGTATGTCCCTCCGTAGAGAACCCTAAAATTTGTTCGAATGTCTTCATCATTCCAAAAGTGTTTCAAAGTACCTAGGAACCAAATCAACAAGCATTGAAAATTTATTATCAAAAAGAGGTTGGCGGGAAATGTTTGGCCTTGTTAATTTAACTTCGGAATAATTGCCAATCATCTGTTGTAAAAATTTTGCTTTTTTTTCTTTTGGAGCTCTTGGAAACAAGATCTGTTACCGGTCAAATTGTGTCCATTTATTTGGCTGATGAACAAAGTTCATTTTTCAAAAAAGAAAAAAGAAAAAAAAATCAGCACGAGAGTGTTTTATTTGTTTTAGACGAGCGGGTACCATTTTTGGCTAAATGAAGCAATTGTTATACTATATATACACTTTAAGTGGACTTGTTAAATGAACTTGGAAGTTTATTTTCATTATTTAAGAATAAAGGGGTTTAAGTTAAAAGTTGAGACATTCTTACTACCCACTTTTTTCTGAGACCCGCGCGTACCTACTCATCTCCAGTCGTCTTTATTATCATCTTCACTCTTCGCTGTCATATTCTACCGTTTGCGACGGAGCCATCAATACGATGGTCTAAGTTATTTCTTTTTTTTTTTTATTTTTTTTACAAACCAAATTAGTATGTGGAAAATTTATTGATAAAGTAAAATATTTTCGGGGCAGTGTGTTAGACTTACCCCATACAACAAGAAACTATCAATTAATGATGGTGATTTAAATATTAGTAAACTATATTAGGAATAAACTAGTACCGTATAATAACAATATAGGACAGTAATAATTTCCTCTGTCTGCATGATTCGCATCTTGTAGATCACCGTTTACGGATTGCCGTACTTGGTGGGCATATTTAAGAATCCCAAACAGTGAGTGATACACAGAGAATTGTTGCCTCTAAGTTGTCACATAACTAAACCATAACCCGATACAGTTTATTTGTAGACCAGAGAGGATGGTTTCCTTCTTATTTTTTGAACCAGAAAATCGGCGAACCGATTTTTAAAGCCGATAAATACATAACCGGCTGTGGAAGAACCGGATTTGTGGCCGGAGATGAAAAGCATGAACTGCGTTGTTCGTGCAGGATTCAGATGGCAAGTCACTCGGCATCTGGGTGGCATCAGAAAGGAGCTTCTCTAGCTGGCTTATTTGGGATTTTTGACAGATGGCCGCTTCTAGCATCGGACCCCGGTAGCTGCCTGAAGAGAGTAGAAGACAACGGTGACGGCTGAATTTCAGATCAGAAAGGACCTGCAGATCTCAACAGATCTGGCGATGTCGCCGTGGATCTGTCTTTTTGTGACCGACTCTGCAACAGCAAGTGGAGGCCGTTCATCTGAATCGTCAGTGACAGTCGCGTCACCGTGGTGGCCGTTGATCTGATCACCGGATTCAGATCTGTAGATCTGCACTGTCAACACAAGCGAGGGTCTCTGGTAGTTAGGTCTATGGCGTTCGGTGAATTCCAAAAGTCGCGTGAGGCTGATATGATCAGCTGCAGCAGAGGATGGAGGAGGCCAGGTCTATTTTTAAAAGAAAGCAGATGAAAAGAGAAAAAAAATTAGAGAAAAGAAGGCTCCCCTGACCATTGTTAATGGCGGTCGGGAAAGTAGAAGAATTTCGACGAAAAAGTCTTTTTAGAGAGAGGCGAGAGAGGTTTTTTAGAGAGAGATTGTGATCCTTATATGATAATAATCATTGTAATCGATGGTTTAAGTTAAAATAGAAGAGACAAGTCCTTTTATAAAACTAATAAAAGTTATTTGTATTTTTAAGGGTTTTTTTGTTTTGAGTAACTTGATTGATATTTTTGACGCAAAAATTGGTCAATAAATGTTAAATGACCAGAAAATGTCACTACGCAAACAATTTGATTAGAGAATGGATTAAAGATTCATAAATATAGATGTTGGAGAAAATTATTGAATAAAAGGCTCATGAGCGATTGTAAAAAATATGATCGTTAAGAGATTGGACAGTGAAATAAAAAATATAATATAAAGGGCTCATTTTATATTTTTGGTTAATTGGAAAGTCTATTTACATAGCGTTATTTTTTTTTTTAGTAAAATGTAAAATTATCCATTAAGCTCGTACACAACAAATGATGTATTTATACGTTGTCCTGATCACGCATAAGAGAAAATTACTCCAATAAAAATGCAGCGAACCAAACATTATCTTACGCATGATCACGCTTAACAAAATCTTTTTTGTTTACTAAAATAAAACACTAAACATGCATGAAAAACTAAATTTCAACTGGCAAAACTAATTTAACAAATCAAAACACAATCAAGTGAACTTGGGTTGCCTCCTAATAAGTGCCTTTCTTTATTGTCTTTGGCTAGACCAATTTGGTGTGTCTCAAGGAGGAAATTTTGAACTTCCATCTAATAACGGTGGATAAAATTTTGAGCAACATCAAAGGAAATCGAAGTTAGATGGGGCAAATTCACATTTAGACATTGATTCAACAAAATGAGGTGGAAAGTAGTCTCCTCTAACTGATTCTTTAAACACTCTACATCTATCTAGACTCACGAAACTTACATCTACGATTAGCCCTATTTCAGGAGGTTGAGATAGATGTCCATATGCACACTCAAGAGGTTTAGGTAATGGTATTAAAACAACTTTTGGAGGCTTCAATCCTTAAATGCATCATTGAAAGGGTCTGAAGTAGTAACCAAACCTGAATTCTTGCATTTGGAAGAAAATTTTGATTGTGGCGTAATAGATATATTTTTCCCAATTAAAACTACCTCGACACCATGAAATTGGAATTCTTTCTTTTCAGCACAAAACTTCTTAAGAAGCTCACCATGATAAGGCAGCTCGTCAAAATTTTTCACCAAATGTACATGTACCTCATCCTTGGAAAAATTCTCCACCACATTCCGTTTGGGCTCCTCTATCTTTGGCTCTACTGACATATCTGAAAAAGAAGTATTAGCTGCATTAGTTTGACTAAATAAAATAGAAAGATCAATTACCTCATCGTCGTCCAATGCCGCTGCCTCATTTTTCTCTACTCTCGTATGTTTCAAATCTTCTGCGTTTTGAGTAGCTGCAGTCTCGACACCATAAACCTGTTCTATGAATGGATATTTCATTTTTTCTAATTCGGCCCTTGAGAATCTGCTAGGAAACGGAGGAAGTACCACATAATGTGGCTCTTCTCTAGCAATTTCTTTCTCTACCTTCGTCTCAGATACATCATTTTTGGGACTTACTTCCTTCATGGCACACACACTTTCAACAGGATTAACTACCGATGAAGATGGTAATTCCACAGGCTTTGAGACTTCGAACTTGCTAATAGCATTAGCTAGCTGGCAAATTCGGCTTCCCAACTCCTGTATCCTTACTCTTGTTTCCTGTTCAAATTCAAGAGTATTAGTTGCCAAAGCGTTAACAATCTCATCTAAAGACAAACCTGAGCTTTGAGACTGTGGAGGTTCCGGAACATGATACACTTGTGGCTGAGATGGCTGATACTCATAGTTGAAATTCTGATAATCCTGCCAGCCTAGATCATATGAATATGAACGAGGTTCGTATCTTTCTTGTGGCGGTCTCCAAGATTCTCTCATGATATTTTGACTCTCCCGCTGGTAGTATGGTAATTTTGGACAAAAATCGCTAGTATGACCAGTCATTAAACAAATACCACATCTTTGGACTTGTTTCTGTTGACCTATAGCCACATTTTTCACAAGAGAGGTTAGTTCAAATAATTTTTGCTCAAGATATGAAGAACTTACCTCATTTTTATTCGAATGGCCATCTTGCCGGTTCGAAGATAAATGTGCATAATAGCCCATTGCAAAAGAAAAAAAAAAAAACTAAAATAAAACAAAACAAAAATTTAAAGGAAACAAATCAATTAACACCATCCCCGGCAACGGCGCCAATTTGATGGGGGTGTCAAGCCACACAAATAAATTAACCTACTTCAAAGTACGTAGTACGGAGAAGTAAGGTCGTCTCCTCAGGGAACGATAGATTATTTCCTTCAAATTAATATAAAGATGAATTTTTGGATTGTTGTTCTAAATCTATGATAATGAAATTCAAATAACAAAAACTAAATAAATGAAAAGAAATCAAAGTAACAGACTTCTGACTCAAGGGACGGATAACTCAATTATTTCATTAATCACAGACTACTAAAACTACTCTTGCAATTTAAGCATTCAACCAAAGATATATTAGGATAGCCGTAATAAATCAATTAATCTCCCTAAATTAACTAACTAAGCCTAATACTCGATTAGTCCTTATCATAATTCCGCTTGGCACGATAGCGTTCCATACCAAAAAATGACAGCATAAATACCAAGAAAATATAGTTGAACCAAAATCTAAACAATTGAGATAGCTGCAAGTATTCAGACTTTGCCTCATTGATTCCATATTTAAACTAACATGAATATTCAATGTCTCACTAATACACATACTTTGTCTAATTGCTACTCGGTACTGCCGGTTCTTGTCTATTACGTAACATTCAACTAGCAGATAGCACTAAAAAATAAATAACAAATCAAGTTATCAATTTGAATGATATCTACTTTCATAACTCAATACAAGAATCAACAAATACTTAAATTATAGGCAAGAACAATAAATTAAGAACAAAACCTCATAATGGAATGACTGAATAAATCCCTTGAATCAGAAAGAAAATCCCTAGCCACTCATGGATGGAAACATGGCGGCTTTATTCTCCATGGAAATTCAAGAAAAATTAGAAGAAATATAAGGTTTGAGGTGCTAGCCTTTGGCCTATGCACGGCTGCTCTCTAAAATAAAACTAAAAGTATATTTATATGGGAAATTTAGGTTAGCCGCTGGAAAAGAAGAATTAGTCCATGATTTGCATCTTTGGTCTCTCGAGTTTACAGTATTTTTACTTTTACCCCAAAACTTCTTTAATTTTGTATTTAAGTCCCTAGTCGTGCAAAATTATCCAAAACATCTCCAATCTCTTATTCCAACTCCTAACAAGAAATAATAACAAAATCAATGAATTAAATCCATCCGAATCCATAAACTAATAAAATATCAACAATTAAAATACAATTTATGGACTGTATCATGTCCTATATTTTGTACCCACTATCTATTTTAAAATAAGGGAATGATGCCAATTCTTTCTACACACCGAATATTATCATTACTTCCTTTCCGATAATGATATTGTACCTACCCTCCATGTAATTCTTTCATCTCTTGCATTCTTTCTGTTGCTACCTTTTGTAAGTTGTTTAATTTTGATCCTTCCTTCCACTCCGAATATGGGGTACCGCTGCTACGATACCAAGCTTGCGTAGATCACTCTTTGTTGGTCTCATGGCGTTTAATTTTCAGTAATCTATTTGCACTGTTCCTTAGAATTTGGCCAGCAATCTTGATACCCGACTACTCGGTTACTCCATTTAGTATTTCTCGTACACAGTTGTAGAACAGGTGATTAACAAGTTCAACATCACAGAAGTCCATGAGGTTCCACCTCAAAAACCAATTGGCAAGGGGAGTAGTCCATAGAATTTATATATTGATATTCAGAGTCTCTTAACACCAATGTGGGATTGAGACTCTTTAATACTCCTCTTCCAAGCCCAACGTATTTTTTGGGTTAGACTTGTCCTATTTTTTTTTCAGCCCAAGCACTACCTCACGTCTCAACCCTATTTTTTTGTTAGGCTTTTTTGGAGTCTGAAAGTCAACAGGCCGACTTTGATACCATACAGAAATTCATGGGGTTCTACCTCAAAACTAATTGGCAATGGGGGGAGCAGCACATGGAGCTTATATACTTCAATATATAAACTCTATGGGCTACTCCCCTCATTGCCAATTGGTCAATATATAAGGTCCATGGGCTACTCCCCTCATTGCCAATTGGTTTTGAGGTGGAACCCCATGGACTTCTGTATGATATCAGAGCCAGCTCGTTGACATTTGGACTCCAAAAAAACCAAAAAAAAAAAAAAAATAGGATTGAGACTCTTTAATAAACATCAACCCCACATAATTCATAATTGATCTCTTCGTTGATCACGTTCATTTTCCTCACTCTGTCCTTACTTATCAACCTTTCAAACCTAACTTGCATATAAAGCTATGGCTTGGTATGCAAAACCTGTTCCGAATGATAGCTGATTCTCTATGGGTTTGGTGCTCACTTGATAACATATTTTTTACTGAATATTTGTTTTGTAGTGTTACTTTCCATTATCCTTTTGCTATCCCTTCTTTTGATTTATCTTTTAGTCTTATTATCTTTCTTCAATGCCAGCTGCAATCTCTGAGGGCCTTGTAATCTTGGATATAGTTGGTACGCACCAATTATACCTTTTCTCATAGCCAACTCCCATATTTGTTTTCCGAGTAAGACTTGATTCCATGTCCATGGTTCTTTGACATTCAATCCTTCTGCTTTTCTTTTCTTTTCCTGCACATATCATTTCCCACAAAAATTCCCTCCAATGTCTTGTGATTTGTTACACAACTTTTTGCGGTAATATAAAGATAGTTGACCATTACGTATGTATATTTACCAGTACAGAGGTGATCAACTGAAGTCTCCTAACATATGAAATGTTTAGTTGTTCCGCATTCAAGCCTTGCTACAATTTTAATCAGTCATTTCGTTACAGTATTCTTATGTATAAGTTGTAGTTGGCCTTTAGACACCGAAATACATCATTGGGAACTGAACAATGCCAAATCCCAAAGCTAATTGTATTCTGTTGTTCACTTGATCAGGAACTCCACCAAAGAGCACATGTAGTTTAAAACCAATGCCATTCTTGTTTCTATGTACGGACTAGGTTTGAAGATTGAACGTTGAAGTTGATAAGTCGGATATCATATGGGAGGTGGGGAATAGAGCAAAAGTATTGATATTCTGAAATTTATTCTCTCCAAGCTATATGATATTTAAATAAATAGCAAAAGGAGGAAATAAAGACACCAAAAGAAAGCAAACTTTAGGGTAGAAGATGAATGTCAAATGCCCTAAAATGGAAAGGTGGACCAATTTGCAGAACGGACCAGTTAAGGCTTTTACATATATTTTTTCCAGGCTTGGTCATCAATAAGAAGATGTCAGATAAATATACTCCTTCTGTCTCGAAATGATTATCTAGTTTAAAATTTTATTTTTAGTATAAACGAAACTAAACTTAAAAATTCAAATTAGACAATAGTTTGTAAACAGAAAAAATAAATTAATTATAATCCATAGATTTATTTAAGTTTCAATTCCCTTTGAGTATTGAGATTTATCTAATTCTGATACTTTTAATTATGTCGACCTCAAGAAATTCATACTACGCATAACTTTGTTAGCATTTCGAATTGGAGACGCATGTGGTTCCGAAAACTTTTCCCATGAACTTAGTATATCTTACGATTTAGTACATCAAACCAATTTTAATAAAGAAAAATAATTTCTCGTGGGTCCGCGCAAGGCCAAGGAGCCAAGATTGTCATTTATTTCCCCTTTTGGAATCTTCTGAATTCAATTTGTTTCCTACGGAAGGAGGAACACGAAAAACAAAGGGGGAAAAGAAAAAGAAAAGCTAAAGCTAAAATAGAGCAACATTAATTGGATGTGGTATGCAATTACACTTTCCATAAATGTACACTTGATAATGGAGATTCTTATATTCTTTTGACCCAAAAGATAACAATTAAACAGCAATGTCAACCTTTCAAATCTGTGTTTAGGGCCTACCATCCATGCATGTTTGACCAATATCAAAAACCCTTACAGGATAAGGTTTTGTTGAAATTCCCTACATTTTGCCCGCTATTCCATTTCAAGGAATGGCAATATGGCATTCATCTGCTATCCTGACAGTTTGCTTCCATTTGCTTGTCATTTTTTTATTTATAAATATAGATATGGAGAATATATTTCAGAATACTTTACTCCGTTCCCCACCGCCCAATTGATATCCAAGTTATCAACATTGGTTGCCTATATAAACTGTTCATATCAATGGTGCAATTCAAAGTAAACCAAATCCACATTCAGAAACAAGAATGGCATTGATATATTCTGAATAATGTAAATGATCAATGCGCGAAAGGTATTTCA